CTAAATGAAAAAAAAATCACTGCCCCCACCCCACCGCAGAACAGCACAGTGACACACGTGTGCGCTGTCGCTAGCGACGCCAGTCGCGTGGCCTTGTCACCGTACGACACCAGCGGTGGCGGCGCCGCCGCCGGGTCGCCTCCCTCGCCTCCGGCGGCGCTTGCTGCTGGAAAGGAAAGGCCTGGGCTAGCGTCGCGACCGGGGGCGACTCCGCCGCTACCGCCCATGGCGGTACTGCTTGTGACCGCGGCCGGGGGCGACTCCGGGGCTCCTGAAGGGTATCCGGTCCCCCTTGTAAGATACTCAATGCAATGACGTGGAAAGATGCTCTCCAGCACCTAACATGCACGTCGGAGGGTTGGAAGCGAGTTCAGGATGCTATTGACATAAATAATAATATTGAAGGAAGTATTGGGATGGCATTTTTGTGGGCATCATTTTGACGTACGGCAACAACAGTTTGCCTGTCTGTAGTTCTGGTTCTTAGGGTTTGAACTCTGGTGGGAAGATTGGGGCAATTGATGGCGGTCGACGTCGCGCCATTCGCCCCGTTGGACGGGAAGCTGTCCTTGCCCTCCAATCAATGGACTTCGACCTCAACACGATGTCGTGCCGTACGGCACGGTATAGTACGGTGTTGTACACAACCTGTTTGTTGGGAACCGTACTGTCTGTCTAGTGGAACTTCCACACGAACACGTTGATTGGACACTCCAAAAGGCATACGCACGTACAGACAAACATACAGACAAACATACATACAGACAAACATACAACACGCAACAACACGCGCCCTGCCGGTGCGCTCCCTCCAAGCACCTTGTGCTCCTTCTGCAGCAACCTGGCCATGGGCTGGTGCTCCAAGAGGTGATCCGTCACGTCCACTTGCGACACGACGAACAACCGGCCGCCGCCGCCGCCGCCGCCGCCGTCATCAGCTGCAGCTCCGCTCATGTGTGTCGTACCCTGAAGGTTTCTTATTCCGCCGCCGCCGCCGCCACCTTCTATGCTCTGGATTTGGATTTTATGCCAGACAGTTGCTTCCATCGTAGCGTCGGCGCTAAGTAGGGCAGTGGCGGTGGGAAAATACGCGTTCAACTCGGGAACGACGGGGGTAACGCCGGCGGTGGCGGCGACGGTGGCGGTGGCGGTGGCGGTGGCGGTGGCGGAAGCGGCGGCGCTCGTCAATCCACCCCGCCCTGAAGCCCCTCCCGCCAGAGCGCTCTCGCAGCTGTCCAAATCGCTGGAGGCTGTACAGCGCGCCAGGGACGCGGCTGCCGCGCCGACGCCGACGCTCTTGCCGGCGCCCGTCAACGGCTGCGTTGCCGTCGTGGCGGCAGCCGTCGTTGTCCGCTGGAGCTCATGGAAAGTGGAAAGGTGTGAGGATAACTGCCGGGAGGGACCCTGACGCTTGATGGCGCCGCCGCCGCCGCCGCCGCCGCCGCCGCCGCCGCCGCCAGCATGCAGGTCGCCACGCGGTGGCAACATCGCTATTGTTGTGCCGCCGCTGCAGCAGCGGCTATGTGCGGGGCTAGACAGCGGCCGCTCGATTTCCCCTATCTGGCCCTGAATATGGCGTTGCTGCTGCTGCGGCGGCTGGTTTTGTTTGTGTGCGCCGTACTGCGCCTGCTGGTGCTGGTGCTGATGCTGGTGCTCTAGGTGATGCTGCGGGTGATGCTGCGCTGGCGTGGGTTCGTTCACAAAGCTGGACATCAGCTGCCGCAGCCGAGCATGGGTGCTTGCCCGCTGAGGCGGCTTACGATAAGGCTGGCGGAGAGGCGAGCGCTGCTGCTGTGACAGTGACTGCGGCTGTGGCTGCGGCTGTGTTACTGGCGACGGCGGCTGCGCGGCCGGTGGGCACCTCTGGCTCTGCCTTTTCGTTTGGCTAAGAGACGGGCTGCTTGACGGCGGGCTTTCACCTAGCGGCGAGCCTGTTGAGGGGGATCCGCCGCCTCTGCTGCGGGCCCTGCTGGCCTGGAAGCAAATGGACGCGCTGCTGACGCAACGCCGGGGAACGACGTGGTGCGGTATGCGGTATGAAGGATAAGGCCGCAGCTCCGGAGCCGCCGCTGCCGCCGGCAGCATCGCCGCGTATGGTGGCGGCGGGAGAGCCGGCGGCTGCGTTTGGGACGCGGCAACCTCTACAGCGGCGGCGGCAGCGGCAGAAGCAACAGCGGCAGGAGGTGAAAGTGAGGCGCCCGTCGCAAGTCGCTTCTTGTTATGGGTGGTGTCTTTGGAAGCAGCGGCACGGCCTCCAGCGGAGGTGGCGGACCCGGCGGCCGCGGCGTCCATGCCAGCCGCCTGCTCGGAGTTGCACGTCACGAATTCATTGGCCATGCAGCCACAGCCGCTACCGCCGCCGCTACCGCCGCCGCCGCCGCCGCCGCTACCGCCGCCGCCGCTATTAGCCACGAGCACCGGCACGGGCGGTGACAGCTCGATAACTTCATTCCTAGGTCTGCATATCGGCAGGCCAGCCCACGCAGCGTCCTCTGCGGCGGCAGAGGAAACGACGGCGTCAGCCGCAACGCCGCTGCCGCCGCCGCCGCCGCCTTTGGCAGGGGCGGCGGCAGCCGGTGACCCAAGGGTCGGCTCCCCTTGCAACGCCGCAGGCCTCCACAAACCCAAGCTTGCCTCCGGCATCGCCTCATGGAACGCTCTCGTGCTAACGCCGCCGCCGCCGCCGCCGGAGGCGGTGGCGGAAGTCGCGGCGCCAGTGCCAACGACGCCGCCACCGCCGTCGCGCGCGAGAACCGGAACCGTCACCGCATCTACGGATTCCATTTCACTGAAGGTAGTGGCCGCGGTGGACAGCAAATAACAATCGGGAGGTGCGACGGCAGCGCTGCCCGTGGAGCCTGTGATGGTTTCGAAGGCCTTGCCGGAGTCCAGGCCACAACAACCCAGAGTGCTGCCGTGCGCTGAGAGTAGAACGGGAAGGCACGCTCCGGAACCATGGCGCGGTTGGGCGGCCTGCGGCGGTGACGCAGCGTCGACACTGCTGCCATCGGCGGCATCGGTGGCGGCGATGGTGGCCGCCACTGATGCAGTAGTAGGTGTGAAGTGGCTAGGCGCTACGCCAACTTTGTCATGGTCAACGACCCGTGGGTCGGTCAACGCCGAGGGGCCTGATGGAGGCGGCTCATTGGAGTGAGCGTTATGGCTCACCTGCCATCCACAGTCATTGGCCCTGCAGCCGCCGCCACCGCCACCACAGCCAGGACGCCGAATGCGAGCGATGTCACTGTCTAGAAAGTAACCTGGACTTCTGCTGACGGCGCCGACGGGGCCGGGCCCTGGAATAATCACATCCGCCATTGTGTCCCTGCTTGCATGTGACAGGGATTGAACCGCCGACTTGGGGCCCAACAGGCTGCGTGGCCGTGGGATAACGGTGCCCGCCTGTGTGAAGTCAGGTAGCGCCGCGCCATGCAGCAGCGATACAGCACGACGTGCCGCCTCCCCACCGGAAGCTTCATCCGGAGCGGTGTTACAGCGTCCCAGAGGTGTAGCAGTAGCATGACCGTCGACCTCTGTTGTTTCGGCTGTAGCTGCGTCTGCGGCAGATGCGATTGCTGCCGTGGTTGCTGCAGCCACATCAGTCGGAGGCGACGACGTCAGCGACAACCATGACGGCGGCGGCGAAAACACGTCAGACACCTCGGTGTACGGCAGCTCCGGGGCAGTATTTGAGGGCGACGCCGGCGACGCCGCCCGATCGTCCGAATGATCCTTCACCACCCCTGCCGCTGCCGCTGCCGTACCTGGCCGGCGGGACGAAGACCGCCGCACAGCACCAAGGGCTGGCGGCAACATGCCGCCGGGCAGCATGCTGACAGTACGCCGCGGTGCTGTACGGCGCCTGGAGCTAGCAGTCGCCGCCGCCGCCGCCCCCAGCAGCCGCTGCAGCGTCCCCGACGGCGGCGAGATCCAATGCAATGGCGTGGCGCAGCTAGAGGATGGCGGCAGCAGGCCTCTGCGAGTCTCCAGCGGCATCATAGCCGAGTACGGCATTGTGGGCAGGGC